GCAAGATTTCGCTATTCCTGTATTCAAATCCTCTTGCAAATAAAAGGTTAACATTCCATTAGCCTTCCTAATAGCTTGCTGCATCTGCATGTTAAACTTCAGTGACTTATCAAAAGAGATACCTAGGTTCCTTTACACAAATGCATTTTCTAACCTTCTTCCATTTAAGAAATACTCTGCACATCTGCTCCTCCTACCGAAGTGGATAACCTTAGATTTAAGCACTTTATTTTCCATCTACCATGTTCTTACATCATCCTCAAAGCAAATTCCTATTTAGCATTTTATTATATGCAAATATTAAGATATTTTTACATTTGGTCCCCAACTGCAAATCATTGATATATATTGTGAACAGTTGGGGTTCAGGTACTGGTCCTTGTGGTACCCCACCAGTCACAGCTTGCCAATGTGAGAATGATCCACTCTGTTTTCTGTGTGTTGGCAAACTTTGATCCATGCCATTACATTGTCTCTTATCCATGTGCTTGAATTTTTCTAGCCAGACGGCTGTGAGAAATGTTATCATAACCTTTTGAAAATCCATTTACACTACATCTATCAGCTCTCATTTATCAATTTCTGAGTAACATCTTCAAAAAAAAAATCCAACAAGTTTGTCAAAAATGGTTACCAATTTGCAAATCCATACTGATCATTATTATTCAAATGTGTGCTGATCTCTACATCTATCGCAATAGTGAAGGCTGTCAACCAACTGACTACCAGGTCTTGAGGAAGTATCATCTGTGAGCCTGATTAATTTAAAGTTATAGAGATGCACAGCATAGAAACAGACCCTTTGGTCCAACTTGTCCATGCCGATCAGATATCTGGAAGGGTCACCGGATCTGAAACGTTAACTCTGATTTTCTCTTCACAGATGCTGCCAGACCTGCTGACCTTTTCCAACAAGTTCTGTTTTTAAACCTAGTTCCATTTACCAGCATTTCACCCGTATCCCTTTAAACTCTTCCCATTCATATACTCATCCAGATGCCTTTTAAATGTTGTAATTGTACCAGCCTCCACTACTTCCTCTGGCCCTCTACCTGAAAAAGTTGCCCTTTTAAATCTTTTCCCTCTCACCTTAAACCTATGCCCTCTAGTTTTGGACTCCCCCCATCCTAAGGAAAAGATCCTGCCTATTCACCCTATCCATGCCTGTCATGATTTTATAAATCTCTATAAAGGTCACCTCTCAGCCTCTGACGCTCCAGGGAAAACAGCCCAAGTCTATTCAGCCTCGCCCTACAACTCAAACCCTCCAACCTTGGCAACATCCTTGTAAATCTTTTCTGAACCTTTCAAGTTTCACAACATCCTTCCTATAGCAGGGAAACAAGAACTGCATGCAGTATTCCAATAGTGGCCTAACCAATGCCCTGTACAGCCGCAAGAGGACCTATCACTCCTATATTCAATGCACTGACCAATAAAGACAAGCATACCAAATGCCTTCTTCACTATCCTAACTACCTGTCACTTCACTTTCATGGAACTATGAACCTGCATTCCAAGGTCTCTTTGTTCAGCAACACTCCCCAGAACTTTACCATTAAGTGTGTAAGTCCTGCCCTGATTTGCCTTTCCAAACTGCAGCACCTCATATTTATCTAAATTTCTCTCGTATAATCTTCGTATGAGCGTTAATATCCTTCAAATGCTCATGCTACCTAGCTACTTGAATCCCTAATTTGGGGAGATTTCTTGTATCTTTCCCAGTGAAAGGTAAAGTCGCCACAATCTTACCAGATGATAGGGCTGCTCTCTCATTAGAGATAGATGACAAGTGGGGTTAACCTGACACTTGAAAGCTCTGAAGATCAGGGAGACCTCGGTGTGCATATCCACAGATAGCCTTGAAGGTAACAGGGCAGGTACGATGGTAAAGGCAACATTCAGGACACTTGCCTTTATTAGCAGAGGCATTGAATACAAGACCAATGAAGTAATACTAGAACAGTATAAATTTCCATTAGCCACAACTGGAGTACTGCATGCAATTCTGGTCACTACATTAAAGCAAGGATGTGACTGCACTACAGAGGATACAGATACAGAGATTTACCAGGAGACTGACTGGGCTGGAAGGTCTGAGCTACGCTATCCAAAAATTGAATAGACTAAGGTTGTTTTCTTTGGAGCAGGGCACCTAATAGACATGTATCAAGTGGGCACGGATGGGGTGGATAAAAAGACATATATTCCATTAGCAAAGGGATCAATAACCAGGAGCACAGATTCAAGGTAAGACATTGAGGGGAAGAGGGCAGTCGAAGAGAAATGTTTTCACTGCTGAAAAGCATAGTTGAGTCAGAAACTCGCGTAACATTTAAGCAGTACTTAGATATTCACTTGCGTTGCTGAAGCCTCCAGAGCTAAGACCCAAGAGCAGGAAAATGGGATTAGTGAAGTCATATCTTTGTTGATAGGCCCAGACAGGACGGACCGATTGGTTTCCTCCTGAGCGGTAAATGTCTATTTTGAAGTCACACGACAGCAGTTTATAGTCCTACAGGTTTATTTGAAATCACAAGCTTTTGCACTGCTCCTAAAGGTTGTGATTTCAAATAAACTGTAGGACTATAACTGGGTGTCATGTGATTTCTGACTTTGTCCACCCCAGTCCAACACTGGCACCTCCACATCACCTATAAAACTTGTCCGATCTTCTTCACTTGGTTAATTTAGTGAGTTAACTTAAAGTGTCATTTGTGTTGCACATGAACATTTTCATATCCCTACAATTTTGTGAACTTTATCTCCTTCCATCACTTAACGTTGTTGATCAAAACAGAACTTGTAAAAGATCCTGACAGACAGCAGTGTTGAACCTCTGATGCAAATAAACGTTGAGTAGACTTTTAAGTTGTGATATTCATTCATTGTGAGGTTTTAAAGATTTCAAAAGTGCTCGTGTGTACTGCACCTCACTTTCAATACAAGATATTTCCAAAGATTAACTCATGTTAAAGTGAGCTTCCTGACTATCGCATGGTAGGTGCTGGAAAGACAGGCAGGAAAATGGCAGCAATTAAGACAATTGGCTGCATTAAGACTAGATTAGTTCAAAACAATACTAAACAAGTTGGGCCTCAATATCAAAGAAAGACTCACCTTATCCCTAATGAATTGCTGGACATCCTGCCCATCAGTTAGGAAATCCTTCCAATTTAAGCCAGCCTCTTTCCATAAGGCCCCGACTTTCTTATGGCTCTGTTGAAAAATAAAATGCAAATATTCACCAGATTTTGCTGGAAAAAAATGTTAATTTAGGGGAACAAAAGGACTGTGAAGTTCCTTTGTTTGCAATGTCTGTCACCAGTTTGTGAACAAACAAAATCTATGAAATGTTTTTCTACTCACCATTTGTTTGCATAGAAGGTGCAAAATTTCTGCAAGCAGAACCCCTGCTCTCTCCACAGGAAGTAAAGGTTTACTAAGTTCTCTGTAATAGAATGAAAAAGAATATTGTTCACTATCTTGAAAAATTCGTCCTGGTTCTGAAAACAATAGAACCAAGGAATTGCATCAATCTTCATTCAGAAGTAACTAGATGGGCATGGTTGTTGCCATAATGCAGTTAGTTTTCATGTGATAGTTAGAGTATAAAGCAACTTATATAGATGTTTTTGTTTGATATCGGTGCTGTTCTTCAAATCATTTTGAAGTAATTTGAGTAAAAGCTGCAAGAATCTTCTAACGGTACTGTTGGCTGCATTGTATTGAACATCGAGGGATACACCAGACACAGCAATTTTGTACAATTCAGACATATCTGAGTACAGATCTTCAAATAAACATCAAAAAATAGAAAAAGGTTGACATCTTCAATAAAAAACTTTGAAAGGCACAGATAATACAAAAGAGAGACAATTCAGATTTAATGATATTATTGTGAAATACTTAGTTTTTGTTCAAGTCCTTGTTGTTGACATAAATTTTGAAGACCTGAACAAAAACATGACCATTTGCTAAAAAAGATCTAGAATAAAACTCTTAGCTGTCAAAAATGAAATGGCAGAAACATGCCAATCAAGATCAGACATTAACCATCTTTAACATCTACAAATAACTACTCTAACAAATTGCATTATCTGAGCAGTGGACTACTAGATTTCCTTAAGGCTTCTTACGTAAATAATTCTCTCATAGAGATTCCTCCTTCTTGTAACATGGGGGTCACAAGTTCACCCAGGTACAGCCATATATGTGGTATATCAATGGCCATATCCTCTGCCAATTCCAAGAGTTCTAAAAACCTGAGAAGAAACAGAATAATTACTGTTAGTCACAATATTTCAGATAATGATAGAATAAAAGCACCCATTTATTTGTAAGAAAAGCCCCATAACTGTAGAATATACAGTCCGCCACTCTAATACATTGACAGTAAAGAAATCAAAACAGTGTGACACTTGAAACATGACAGACTTCTTTCTGATCCTCTTGCAGCTCCCAAGCTCCCCTCCAAAACAACAGCCCAATCCTCACAGTCAGGTAATTACGTGAATGAGCAGCTCACCCAGCATGTGTAACAAATACTCAGTTAGATGCAGCTCTGCATTTGCCATTTTGGGTTATTACAGATCAATGCACATATTTGGTCCTTGGTTTACATGAAGTACACTGCACTTGAAGCACTGGTTTTCAGCCACAACCCTGATGTCCATTTGAGGTTTGGAGTCCTAATCGAAAATCACACTTAAATTTGAATGGAATTAATTCAACCACACAGCATTGTTGATTAAATTTAGATCCCAAAAATTAATTCAAGAATTTACAAAATACTGTGGTGATACAAAGCAGAATAGTAGTATGTAAATTGCATAATATACAAGTAGGAAGGAGTGACGAGAGAGACAATTAAATTCTTCATTTGTTAAATTGCAATCTTTGCTCATCCTTAGTTAACATCCAACTGCAAGGAAGAGCTTAATATCCAGTTAAATTCCTGATCCTGTGATTACAAAACTTTGCTCAGTACTTGGTTGCTGCAAGCAACTCAGGTAAATAGTAATGAAATGTGTGAAGTGGTTTTTCATGTGAACATAAAATATCAGGGCCACTAACTGTGGAGTTCCCTTGAGGTCTAAGCATTCCCCATGTCAGAATAACTGGTTATTTTTACAAAACATTGCAGGTGTAGTGTGTTGATGTGCATTTAACAAATGTGACAATATTATTATTTTTGTACAGAATCATAAGATTCCACTCCCTTTCTGAAGTCCCGTATGTCGCAACATTAAAATATAAGGACTCATTGCACATTCATTTTCTTCAAGTATCACACACCCTTTGAAAAATTCATCCCTGGGTAGCTTTTCCGAGTGTATCAACTGATAGAAAAGCTGCCCCATGTGTTCTCTTGTTATCTGACTCCTCTCCAATGTTGACTCCACACCAACTCTCACAAAGACATGGAGCAGATTCAGTGAATTCAATTCATCTACGCACTGGACTGCTTCCTGAAAATGGAAAACAACCAAATTAAACATTATTTCTGAATTATTTTCACACTTGTCTCTGTTGTACCAATTGCTAACATTTTCCTTAGAAAAAAGATAGATGTTTTTGAACAAAAATTAGATCATGTCTGGTAGAAATGGATTTGGAAAGGACAACTTTCAAGTCGTGAACTCAATCAGTTCCCCACCTTTGATGTTTACTTGTCTTGCTAATTTAGATTATGTTTTCTCTATAAGTTTCTTTTCTTCCTCTTCTCTCTTTCTGGTTTCCTGCTTCAACATAGCTTTAAGGGTAGTGGCCATTAAAAAATGAAGTTAAATTTATCATGAAACTAGACCAGGTTGGGAGTGCAGAGGAATTTGGCTTTAAATAGCCAAATCAATTTGCTAAACTGCTGAACGATGTATAGGTATTTTAGGGCATGGAAGACAAGAAACTGGATTGGAATCAGTCTGTTCCACTGTTTCTGCTCTACTTGACCCTTCCTTGTTTAACTATCAGCACAGCTAAATGGGGTAACTGAGCAGTTCAGGTTTTTCTGTGATCAGAAGCACATACTGCATTGGGGCGTGGGGGGGGAAGGTGCATACATGTAATATGATTGGATAATATATTCAAATATTAGTTAAATATGATCAGACAACAATCGTGTACTAACTTGCAATGTTAACTATTTAAACAAATTGGTACAGATAAGGGTGAGTAAAAGTGCAACCTTTTGATTGGAAATTATCTGTGGGAAGATTCGATTAGAAGCTTGCTATCTGGAAAAATGGTGTAAAACCTTTGCTCTTGTCATAAAGATCTGAGCTGTACGCTGTTTTCTTGAAGTGTACACCTTCCATGCATACATGAATAAGTGTTCCAACAAAGGAACCTGTGTCTTGCCTGGTCGAAGAGGAAATAATGCATTAAACTGACCTTTTTTATAATCCTCTATTCTCCCCTCCTGTATACTATTTAACTTTACCTTAAATGATTCTAAAGCATTCATCGAAGCTATTTCCTGAAGTAGCGAATTCCACATTTGCCCCATTATGTGGGTAAAACTGATCCTTCATTATTTTTCTATATGATTTCTTTGCGACTATCTTACAATGACAAGTAGAAACACTCCCGTGTCTACTCAATCAAAACCTTTCATAATTTTAAAGATCATGATTAGACATCTGTCAGCTTCCCTTCTTTTCCATGAGAAAAGAACACCAATCCGTTATCCCATTACTGATAGTGTGGTGAACAAAAGACAAAGAGCTGTCTGACAACATTTCACATTCAGATTCCAATTCTCCAAAATAAAGAAAACCTGACATCTCCAGAGCTAACCTTCAAATGTAGAAAAACAATTCAATTCAGAAATTATGGAACAACGTTAGTGAGTAACGTTGTAAAATTCTTACATTTGATAATTGATTGTAAACCATAGAGACTGAAATCCTGCAAATACTCACCTTATAATCATTAATGTGCAAAAACTCATCAATAATGGATTTTGATTTCTTCTCCATCTCCTCTTCAGATAGATCAGCTCTGGATGAAGCATCAGCAGGAAATACTTCAGGTTTTGCTGCAAAAAAAGAATAAATTTCAGAAAGTCTCCTATGGTGTTCTGGTCCTATACATACTGTCAAAAGCTAATTAATCATTGATATGCTTCATCACATGCATGGAAAGCAAAATTAGTTGCTGTAAATTCAAGTTATAGCCACATATTTCAATTCTTACATTTTACTTTTTGAATACTATGGGCAAGGGATTATTTCTGCAAATTCTTACCCAGGTGGCGGATCATAACAACAACAGCTAATCACAACAATGTCACGCAGCTTATCACAGCAATGTCATCAGACCAATTAATCCACTTACTGTTGGCATCACAACAGCCATTTTCTCCAATATGCACTTAAAAACTTTATCAGACATCCCTTGCCAAACATCAGAATCCCCTATTGGCTCTTAAGGAAGATTTTATTGTGCAACCATAAATATTACTGATGTCTACACTTATTTTGGAATTGAAGGTTGATGAATAAATCCTCTACTATTTCAACGACTGTAGCTATGTTATTTTCATGGCAACGATTGGTCACAGCCAAATCCAAACTGGTCTTCATTTGACAAACACCCAACAGACTCCTAGCAAGGCATCACTCAATAGTGTGAAGGATCTTTGAATGATTTTTCTGTCCCTTGCTCTCAGGCACACAGCCAAATTTTACCAACCTACTGTCAACTTATTCACGATTAACTAAATTACCACAAAATTGATTTGGGACTATATAATCCACAACTCTCAGTGACATGACCTCTAACAACTGAGACACTGCGGTGGTCTTTTAAATAAAAGGCCAGTTTATTTCCAGATGAGTTTGTACAAGACAAAAATGTACATTCTTCTTTGACATTATGTGTCTCTGTATGCAACCTCGTAGTTGCCCGTTTATGCACTTCTCTTCTCATGCTCTTGATTCCATTGTCTTTTACCTCCAATATCCGCTCTCTTATACATGCCTCTCACTCTCTGTGTTTCTCTGACTTCAGCTCTTTTGCTCAAATTTTCTGAAGTCTAATGCAGGTGGTAAGCTGGCAGCCATGATTTATCATATCCAACATGGCAGAGGGATCGTTTGGGAACTCCTGCAACATGCAAAAGCTGGAAACTGAAACCCATTGGAGGTGGGAAAGTGGATATATAGTTTTATCCCACAGCAGATTGTTTTCTTGTCATTGTTGCCATGGAACCAGCAGCAGGTTGCAGAAACCCTGTGTATCATGCAAATGAAATAAATTGCAAGTCTGAAATGGAGTAAGGCTACACGCACACACGGATCAGAGGATGGGAAGGTGAATTGCTAAGTAGATGCGGTGCAGCATTAAAACTTCTGTAAACAACTAACACTAGGAGAAGAGGTTTAGAAGTGAGAAGATCGGACAGAACTCAGCCAAATCTGGAGCAGTATGGAATCTAGGCTGCAAACCCAGGCGGCTACCAACAAACACAAACTGGCACATGAGCAATTTCTGAGGAAGGCTGTGTTAACATTATTTTTTCTTATTAATTCATTGCCCACCAATAAACTGATTCTCATCAAACACAGATCAAATCAGCTGTTTTTAAAACAAATATAAATTCTAGGATAATTGCTGAAAGAGTTCCTAAATGTCTCTGTAATCGTTTATTTCATTATTCTCAATGCTTCGGTCAGGAAGTGAGTAGTGGTAATAAAAAAACCACAACGTGGATGTTCTCTATGATTGCAAGGAACGTGAACATTTGGGGAGGGGCACAAAGTAAACACCAAGTAATACTTTGAGAGGCGTCCTGGCATGATGTATATTATTTGAGGCAATTCAACAATATTTTTTCTCATCACCATGGCCAAATATGATGAATGCTTTGTGCTTGCCCTTGAGAGTAGTATTGTAATTAGCATTGTAGGTCTGGATGTGAGATTTCACAAAAATTAAGTGCAGAGGTTGCAGCTTCAAGTTTTAATAACATCACTGATTTCCTAATGAATGTTAATAATAAGATCCAACAGTCATTCTTGATTCAAAACCTAGTTTCATGTTGATTACGATCTGAGCATCATGTGCACTACAAGATACAGAAATTTCAAATTACCATTTTCTTTAGTCCGGTTCTTGTCTCCCTCAAAACTCTTCTCCTCCGAGGTACCTGTGGTGTGCTGTACACTTTCAAGGACTTCTCTCCTCTCTTCTTCTCGTGTTCTATCATCAAGCAGCTCCTTGTTACTGCTCACATGTGTGATAGCTGGCCGAGTTGGTTTATCGCTCTTCTCCCTTCCAGTGCTGCTTCGACTATTTGGATAGCAAGAGAGGAAAGGAAAAAGATCACAACTGTTGTATTGTAAAATTACAATTTATCTAATCTCAAATAACAACACAGCAAGGAAATACAACAGTATAAAGTAATATGTATTCATAAACTGCAAAGGTGAACTATGTGGTTTTATTGACGGAGTAATGCTTTGCAAAATGATTGTTCTCCCATATTAAAAGAAACAGAAAATGCTGAAAAAACTCAGCAGCTGTGAGGGCATCATGAAAAAGAAAGAGTGTAATGTCTGAGTCTAATATAATGCTTCTTCAGAATACATATTCTCAACATATGTTCAGGAATGGCTACTGATCACGGGGTTCAATCAAATGGCTGATGCCGACTTCAACATTATTTGGTAATTGTAGATTTAAATGAAGCTTGTTTCATAAATGCTGTTGGAATTGAAAAGTTGCTGATTAATTTTGAGATACAGACATTAAGGTTATTTTGAAGCAATTTTTCATTTCTTATCACTTTGGTAAGGAGGAAATTCCAGAATTAAATGATATCCTGAAATTGATCAATACATCTCTATCTTTCCAATGTGTTGGCACTTCTAAGACTTGAGCCTGTTTTCCCCACAATTCCATGTCTGAATTTAAGTCAGCAACCATATATATACTTTCTCAAGTAAGTGATATTAGAGAAGGAGATGTAGCTTTATTCAAATCAATATACTTATACTTAATTTCATATGTAGAAAGAAGACCCCATCCACTTCCACAATTAAAGATGGGAATTAGGCGATGGAATTTCATCTTCATCTCTAGTATCCAAGTTTAAATCCAGGTCGTAATGATTAGGACAACTTCCCAAGAACGTAATTTTATAAAAGATCGTAAGAAATAGGAAGAGCAGACCATAAGGCTTGCCATGCCTACTCCTCCATTCAATATGATAAATCAGTTTCAACTCTATTTTCCTGCCTGCTTCCCAAATTCCTGGACTCCATGAAACACCAAAACTTTGTCTCTCTTAGCCTTGAATAGATTCGATGATGGAACATTCATAACTGTCTGAGTTACATAGTTCCATAAATTCACAACCCTTTGAGAGAAGAAATTTCTCCTTATCACAGTCCTAAGTGATTGGTCCGTTATCCCGAGACCTTGCACTCATATTCTAGATTCCCCAGAGGAATCAACCTCAAAGTCAATCCTGTAACTTCCCTTTAAAATACTGTACATTCAAAGGCGATCACTTCTCATTCTTATTAATTCAACAGAATATATATAATTTCCGATTTACTCAGCCTCTCAGCAGAGGACTACTCTCTGAACCCAAGAATTAACAGCCTCCAAAGCAAGTATATCTTTCTGTATATTTGGAGACCAAAACTGCACGCAGTATTCTAGGTGTGGTCTGACCAAAGTCCTGTACTAGTGAAGCAAGCTTCCGGTGGAGAAAAAAGTCTTTGTGCCTTGGGCATGCCTGGGGAAGCTAAGAAAGTACATAGGAAGAAATACTTGTTCTTCAGTCCATAAAAATTAAATTTGAACTTAGCAGGTTGAGACCCCAAAACCCAATCAACCTTATCCAGCTCTCCTCTCTTCCCAATGAAATTGGTTTGAAGATTTTTGTTGGGGGCTCAAATATATGAATTTCAAACTTAACATGGAATTCACTTGTATGACAATCACCATTTCCCAGTTGAAAAAAAGATTACTAATTACTGATGCCTCAGTACCTAATACTAGATCTAAAATATTTTTATCCTGTGTTGACTCCAAAAATATATTGCTCCATGCAGTTGTTACAAAAGCATTCAACAAACTCATCTTATAGACCACCTTTTACCAACTTGATTGGTCCAGTCTATAATTATATTATTATACCCAATAAGAACAAAATTACCCCACAAAACTGGCACAGTGGCAATTTCCTGGTTGCCAAAACTCCCTGAAATTGCACCTCAACAATACAAAGTTATCTTTCTTGAAACTCAGCTCTTTGGTTATCTGATTAGAAGCGCAATCAGAAAACGAAGGGGCTGAACAGGTCTTGTAGGTATGTTGTTAATCTGTTAAGAGATGTTATAACACACTTCCGCAGCAATGGGACTTGAACTGCACCTCCAGACCCAGACACTACCATTGTGCTATAACAACCCTTAATAATCAGCCTGGATCTGTTTAGTATCCAAGATCAGATTTTTTCAGAATAGTGCGGCCCTAGGCTGAAAAGATCTTTCATTGGCTTCAAATGGGCCTATGTGGACATGAAGGCAAGGAAACAAACATGGGAGTGTTATCTAAAGTAGCCAGCTTGGCATTGTTGTCCTGTCAAGCAAACTACTGCAGATATTGGAAAAGCAGATAATGCTAGAAACACTCAGGCCAGGCAGCAAGGGTGGGAAAAAAAAGGTACAGTTAATATTTCAGGTGGATGACCTTTGGTCAGCATCAAACACCTTGCTCGTTGTTCATTCTTTCACGTGATATGGACTTCATTGGCAAGGCCAGCATTTATTACCTATCCATAATTGCCCTTGAGGAAGGGGTGTTGAGCCTCCTTCTTGAAGCATTATAGTCTATGCAGTGTAGGAAATCCCACAGTGCTGTCAGACAGGAAGGGAATTCCAGGGTTTTGACCCAGCAACACAGAAGGAACAGTTACATCATCTCAGTCAGATTTGTGTGTGACTTGGAGAGGAACTTGTAGGTGGTGGTGTTTCCATGTATCTGCTGTCATTGTCCTTCTAGGTGGCAGAGATTACAGGTCTGGAAAATGCTGTTGAGGAGCCTTGCTGAGTTGGTGAGCCTAACCTGCGAACTGGTTCTAGCATTTTTAATTTTCTTTTTCTCCTGTAGCTTGGATTTTAACATAAAGCCAGTTTAATATGTGCCTACCAGCATCAGCTGAAGAATAAAATAAATCAGAACTAGAATAAAAATAACCCTAAAGATTAAGTGAGCAACAATGCTGCCCCACTGTACTGTTTCTAATAGAGTTCCAAAAAAAATCTAAGATTTCCTTCACTACCTTCAACAGACAGCACTCACCTAGGTAGGGTCCTGCGTGCATCTGAATCAGAAGGAGGGGCAGACTGCTGTAGTACAGAGAATCTATTCAAACTTGTAGTTCGTGACGATTCTGAAATATAACAAACAGGTTTTTGCTATCTAGGCTTAAAATGATGGGTGTCAAAAATCGACTCACTGCACTGTCAGGATGTCCCAAGTGCATCAAATCATGTAAGCAAACACAGTAGCCGATACGAACGTCAAAAATCCAAAATATCAAACAAGATAGGATTGGTTGAGGGGAGAAGTACTGTTCAGGATACTTAGAAAATGTCAAGTTTATCTTTAAATTGACCTTTGGATCTTCTATAGATTGGGTGGATGCCACTCAACGTTTAATCAGGAAAAAAAAGCTCCTCTAACCTTGCAGCACCCCTTCAATATGTCACTGAAGTACTGGTTTAAATTACATTATCAACACCTGAAGTCAGCTTAGAGGAACTGACTGCACCAAAACATGAAAAAGTAGCTGGTAGGGAGATTGAATAAATGGCAAGTAAAATTCATTATTAAGTGAAAGGTTGTTCATTTTGATAGAAGTGAGGTTAATAATTCCTTTGGAGGGTAAAATGTTAAATGGGGAACAGCAACAAGAGATGTATGAATACAGACGGAGTTAAAAAAAAAAATCAATTTTCATCATTTGTGCAGATTTATTCAGGCCAACATGATCAAGAAGTGCATTTGAAACAGGAGAATATATATATTTTAAAAAGGTGGCTTTGTCTCTAAACTACTACTCTGAAAATCACAAAAATAGTCATCTAAATAGAATTTTTCTCTAATTTGCTTTTCCAGAGTTTCAAAGATCCGGTTTCAAAACATTTTCCAATTAGCTAATAAAATGGATTATGGGACCAGGGACGTATGTTGTAAAAAGTATAACCTGAGTTTTCAAAGACAAGGTTTACAAATAATGTGTAAAACCATCACAACGATAGAGTAACAAGCACCATCTCACTTACCAGTTTCATTAGTTTTCACTCCTCCACTGCTGCCCTTACCCCAGCTACCTAATCGACATCCTGGTCCCAACTGAATTTTATCATCAGTGGCAGGCTAAGGGACAAAATAAAGCAAGAAAACTTTCAAAATCCTGAGAACCTGTTGATGACAATACCGAACAGGACAAAACACTTGCAAGTTTCTCACACTCCTCTTTTCCCTGCATATTTACAAGAAACAACTTTTAAAACCTATGTTCTGACAATCACTTCAACAGAATCAGTTTGCACTATCACACTTCAAGTTCACAGAAGGTATGATTCTACTACTTACGTAGAAATACGGTGTTCAGAGGGCTTCGCCTAACAAGGAAAAGCCTGCTGTCTGACTGCTTTGTAAACTGACTTGGGGCAGTGCTAAATCATTTGACCAAGAATGACCACACACCATTTTAGTGCCAAGTTATTTACCAGCTGGGATAGCAGCAGAACTGCTATTATTCCCCAGCATGTAAAAGGAAAGACTCAAGCTCTGCTCCTGCTCCCTACTGAAAAGTACACATATGGGCAAATTGGGGTTTGGCTTACCGACACTCCCTTGGACCCCTGACATCCTTGGAACTACACTCTTGTGTGTGCCAACATTTCCAAGAGAATAGAAAGAAAAGGGGACAAAAAAAATCATTCTATCGGTGCTGTTATGGTATCATTAATTCAAAATTCACAACAGGAACCCCGCAATAATTAGCACATCCCTTAACAGAAACCATCCATTAATTGACAGATCCCATAAAAGGAACAGCAGCTAATTAGGCCTTTTAAGAGGAACAGTCTTGTAGTGAACATGGACTTAATGTTTTAATTCACATTTATTAATAATTACAACTTAGACAGCATTTTAATAATTATTAGCAAGTACAGCTTTTTGGATTTTAAGAAGATTGTGGTGATGTATAAGGACTTGGTTCTCTCTGAAACCTGAGACATCTACTAATTGCTTTGATCAATACGAAAGTATTGAAAAGTGTAAAATCAACTTGCATAAACTACAGAATGGTAATTACCTGACATACATGTGAAGAGATTTAGGTGCAGACGAGCAGAATTGATAATAAATTATTGCAATATGTTATCAAGCATAAATTATGTTTCAAAAATTCATTTTATGCTTCGTACAAAATTGCTGCACATTAATTGGCAATTATATTTAAAGACCATATAGTAACTAAGAATGAAACTGTATGGAAAGGAAACACCTTTAATTTAGTGATTTAGAACTCAAAACTATAGAACAAGCTCACTAATAACACGTTTGAAACAATGGAGGCTTGATTGATGAATATCTGGGTTGGAAAGGAAATAACTGTTAGGTTTATACAGGAAAGAGATGGCTAAATGCATTGTGATATGATGGTTCCTCAGCTGATGAAGGCAACAAAAATGTTACACAAAGGAAGATAAATCACCAGAGCAACAGATGCAAGGCTTGGTGACCTTTATAGCATTTCAATCTATTTGCTGTTCCTTATGCTATTTAAAATAAAAAAAACACTTATCTTACAACTATTACTATTCTAGTAGTATTTTGCACTCTTTTCCAATTCTGGATTGAATCTAATTTACACTAATGGAACACAATTATGTTTACCCATTATCTGCAAACTGAATAGCCTGAAATTAGTTAAGAAATTGCAATACCATGATTTCAAAAGGATGATTGTCATCTTACTAAGCGTTGTTGTGACTGGCTTGCATGGGGAACAACTCTGATGTTGTAAGAGCACAATGTGTGAGGATTTATCTTATTGTGGTATATGGGTGTTGCTACTAATGTCAGCATTTATTGCCCATCTCTAATTGTACTCGGATGGAGGTGGTCAGGCACTATTTGAACTGCTGCAGTCCATACAGTGTAAATAAAGCCAAGGCAATATTAGGGAAGGAGTTTCATGATTTTGAGCCAAAGACAGATTGGATTGGGGCACATAGTTGGCGATTTAACATTTAATTAAGTTAACATTTAACTTTGACCAGGCTTAATAAAGTGATGCTGAATATCGATAGTGGTAGCAAAAATGTCCATTTTCCAGCACTGGCATTTCAGGTTGGAATAATTTCGAAAGATTCCCCATCAAGCACAAATTAAATCACCATGACCGCAATTGCTTTTATTGGACTGGCTTGTTAGACTTGAATCAAAATATATCTTTGGCCTGAAAAAGTCTTGTTTCATTTGGATGTACTTAACTAGGCACTAACCAGCTAATGACATCATGTACTTTCAGTCTCATCCTCTCCCTTTTCCCAATTTATTAAATAACCACAATATGAAACTTTTAATCTTAACCATCCAATTGTCAGAGTAAATTTGGCATTCATGTCTTTAGATCAGAGAAATAATTCGCCAGGTCATCTAATTAGTCTATTTAGAAGAAATACTGGGACAAAATTTTATAGCTCTCTAAAATAGAGGTGGGGATCGCAATATGAGAGTAACCCTTGACTGGTGTTTTCACTTGTCTAGTGAGTAAATATTAATCAGCACTGGATACCTGTTTACCTGTACCAGGTTTAGGTAGGGCACCTACTGGAACATTCAGGTCAAAAATGACAATGCCAACTCTCATAAACAACATCACAATCAGTGCAACCTTCAACTTTTCCCACACAATCTATGTCCCTATGCTACCATCTATTCAAGAATGTGTGCCAGCACCAGAAATGTGTACTGCACTGTGAACCAAAACCATAGCATCAAATAAACATGTCAATACAACCACACTTTGTGGCTAAACTGTTTTCATAAAACGAAAAGCAATGAGTATAAAATAGACTCTAAAGCTTCTGCAGTTACAAGTGCAGAATTTGCGACATTGGAAAATTTAGCCTATCATGCTTGTACAAATCTTCATCACAAGTGTTCAACTCCATGTCCTTCCATCAGCTTCCTTTCAAAATATTTGTCCAACTCCCTCAATGATAGGTTCACTGCTTTTTGAGTGGGGAAAAAATCCCCTCTCTGTTTTCTAGAATAATAACCTTCAGTTTGTGTACCAGCGTTTGATTAGAGAAGTGGCAACAATTGTTCACTGTTTATTCTCTTGAAAATCTTCATCATTTTACAAACCTTCTATTACATTCCTATTTCAAAAAGAGACTTAGATTTTCTTCAGTAATTCCAACCCCTCATTCCTGTTAATATTCTATAGAATCTTGGGAATACTCTCATACCCCCTCACATCCTTGAATATGGCATTTAAAGCCTCAACTCCGGTCCAACTAATGACTTGTACAATTCAAACATCACTTCATAACTTCTATAGGCAATGCACCTATATCTGAAAATCAGAATTCTATTTGCCTCTTTTCTAACCATTTCTCCCTGTGCTCTTAATACATGTATTGACATGCCTTGACAGGCTACCATTATTTTATCCTGTTAAGAGTCTTACAGTTTGGCTTCTATTTAATTTCCACTCTCCCCACCACAATACATAATACAGTACTTTACACTTATCTGCAATATTAGCATCTCTCTGTAAGTTTCTACAATCTTCCTCATGTCCCCAAAACTGAGTGTCATTAGCAAACTTTAATAGCTTTCCCCTTCTGTCAACATCCAAATAACTTACATAAACTATTTAATCTTCCACGGCTTTGTACGCAATAAATTACAAACCTCAGGTGAAGCATGGCTACAGGCAGGCAGATAAACGGACCAAGGCATAGGCACATAATATAACCTAGATTCAACTATTATACACAATCGGTCCTTAAATTTGTATACCATAGATTCCGATCGCCATTGTAACAGTGAAAAATGCCTGTATCAATGCATATCGTTGTATATTAGATCATCCTAACAGCCTTGGTTGCCTATATATGACCGCATCAAAAAAGCTTTCAGGTACTTGCAATAATGCTCATACTTTGGTAATTTTTGGGAACTTGCTGGGGTCTATCGTCCTGCTGCTCTTAGACACTGGAACAGTGTTCCAAGCTTCTTCTGTGGTTCGTCCACTACCTGCAAGAAGAACAGTTACTGTTAAAATACTGTTAATGCTGCTAGTCATTAGATAACAGCACGTGAATAAAATTAATTATTTTTGTCTTGGATCCAGAAACCACTACTCCCTTGGAACTATGTACCAGGAATCATTCCTCTAGTGGTCTGGACAAATGCAAGTTGTTCTTGAAATTTAACAAATCAAGTGAAGTGAATTAGAAATTTTACTTTCTGAAATTAAAACAAAAATTGCTAGAAATACTCAGCTGATCAGTAGGCATCAGTTTCTGACCTGTGTTTCAAAATCCTGCACCTATTTTTCACAAACTACATAGCCAAGGTTTTAAAAGAATAATTCATAGGTGCGTAACTTAGTAAATGGACATACACAAGAAACCAGCATTCAATGCAGCTCCAAATATCATGAATAATCAACAGGACAAGTTATCATTTCAGGCAACAATACAAACCATTCACATCTCATGTAAAAGAAAGCAGTTAAGGCTGGTTTCTACCACCTGAATAGGCAGCAATCCATTTAAAGGGAAGTAGAAGACTCAAGTAAATAGATTTTGCTCAAGCAGACCAAGACCTGACATGAAAAGATGGAGTCAACATATTCATTACCACCAACAGAACTAGTATTGTCACTGCAAGTTTATATACAAAACTGATCGCATCTGATAAGGCAATTCCAGAAACATCTTACTTGTTCTCCTTTTGTCTTGCTTAGATAGTAGTTGTTGGTGAACCTTCAATTGTTGCTGTTGCTCTTCAATCTGTGCTTCTTTATGGATCTGTTCAATAGTCTTTGGACCCTGTTCAACCCTACGTGACACCCAATTTTTCTGCGGATGAATACAATTGTGTTAAGAAACCCAGGAACTTACATTATTTGAGGATATATTTAAACATTCCCATAATGCCAATACAGCATTTCTTCAGGTTCAATTACATGCAAAATGTTACATTTTGAAATAATCCAAAACTAAACACCAAATGCACTTGCAACACAAAAATCATGAATTAAGTATTCCTTATTATTCATAAAGCATCAGTCACCAACACATGATTGCTTGGTATCCATTTATAGGTAACAATACAATGTTTGAAAGAAATCCCAATAAAATAATCCTAAATGGTTGACAAATCCTTGTCTTGGCAAACAAACATTCAGATTAAAACAAAACAAATTTGCATACAAAGACGAAATAATTAATTTTTAATCTAACATATAGAATCCATTGTCTCTCCCAGAGTAGAATTTCAAAACAGCATTTCTAGAATTCAAACATATAACTATAGGAGATCCTGTCATAAAAGACTTTTTTTAAAAACCCGCTCATAATTAGTCAGTGAGAATAGCAAACTGCTCAGAGGTCTGCTTTTGGAGCTTTCCGCATTGATCTGGGTATTTTTGAGCTGAGGGATACAAAGGAGGGATTAAAAGTTTATTGTATAAACACACAGAATTCCCTCTTGGCAAGTAACTTGCTCTTTAGGAAGAAATGCCTGCAGCTCTAGCTCTACTGCAATGAGGCAGAAGTCAGAAAAGCCTCAATTTGCTGAAGCTTGTAACATTGTAGGAAATGTTAAATATGGACAATGTGGTCTTGAAGCAATGTTGATGCGCTGACAATTAAGTAAAACAAACCTATATTTCAGACAAATCAGAAAATGATGCATACAATGTATGAGAAGGTACATTTTAAACTAGAAATGTCTGACAAACTTAAGATAGCAAAGCTGTACAAAAGTAAACAGTAAAGACAAAAGATAAATGGACTACCTACCATTCTCACATCTATTACATCTTGGAGCATAAAACGTATTCTAGATGATGTTTTCCTTTCTTTCACTATCTTTTCCATTTGATTGAAATACTGGTCCATGCGAGGCTGTAAAGTACAGTCATGCTGTTAAAATTCAGATTTTAGTATTGGAGTTTGTGAAACTTTTTCCTCGTACGTATATAAAAGTTTTGAATTAACACTTTGCATTTATTAAAATAAAATTTGAGGACATCAAGAGCAATGCATAGGACAGATGGATACAAATTTATAAGAGAAATCAAATTATTCTTGAGTGCATGATGCCTAGAGTTCTTTTCCATGGCAACTTATTCAAGAATTCAGTGAAATAACTACAATCAACCAAAACAAGCCCCAACGTGTCAGAGATAACAAGGTGTAGAGCTGGATGAACACAGCAGGCCAAGCAGCATCATAGGAGCAGGAAGGCTGACGTTTTGGGCCTAGACAGAGGCAGGCAGAACCAGCTATGATTGCACAATGTCTTACAGGGCTTCGAAGTATCAAACCCTTCAACTTGAGGCTACACATCTAGTTAGTTAGCTGCTCAAACTACAGTTAGGCAATGGCTGCGGGTACAAAAGCAAGTGAGTGTACAGCACGCTTCCACTTTTAAAAGCATCTACTTTAACCACTAGATGGCCCTCTTAGCTATGACATAGCATCCTTAAATTACCATAAGCTATTAGAATGGTAGGTTAAAAAATATCAAATATCACTTTCTGCATTGATGACTTAAGTTGTTACAATTACTAAAATACCCAAGGCTATTTCCTTCCTGTGTTTAGTAAAACAGGATATCGCCCAATCCGGGCAACAGAGAAGACTAGTTGTGACCACATCAAAAGCTATAGCTTTAAAACTCCGTTTTAAGAGCAGAAACCACATTTACACATCATGGTCTTATTGCCTCTCCAATCTTGGAAAGTTGGAGTGCAGCATCAGTTTCAGAATACAAAAAGATGAAAGAAAGACAAATTAGTATGTTGTCAACTTATTTCAAGGAGAGTAAATATTAGTACATCTCAACAACCTGAACAAGAAAAATCCTTTACTTATAAATGAAATGTTCCCTCTAACCATCCAGATTTAATATATCCTGAAATGGCTTTCACCAGCAAATTCACTTGAAAGGAAGTTAAGAGCTGAAGAACCTCTTGTAAAACATGGCAGTCAGAGCAGCAAAATAATAGCAAAACCACACACCACTCTGATCAGCTTTATCCTGCAGATGACATGAAGGTTCTCACAACCAGACCCATACAATATCTCATAATATTTGATTTTCTAGGCTCACACCAGCCCCTTTTTCAAATTTCTCCAACTCATTTTGCAATCAATCAGTCTATAAAGACTTGGAAACTAGAGCTACATTCATGTGGCAGGTAGGAGCGTTGCCTGTCTGCCTCAGGAAAGACAGCTAAGATTGGGTCAGCTCTACCCAGAAAAGGTGCAGAAGCAGCCACAGGATGCCAAGACTGACTGCTTACACAGTTCACCTCAGAGCTGTGGATTTCATTCCAGCTTGAAAAAAATTCAACTCAATGCCTACACTCCTCCATAAAAGTTGAACCCTTTTTCTTTATTTCTTTATTCTTCTGCCTTTATATTCTACGTTTTAGTTTATTTTTCTGTGTTTTAAGATGGCAGAGTGGCAACACTATACAACACTTTTCATTGTATTTTGTAACAAAATGTCACAATAAATGAATCCGACCACATAACCACAAACACCCCACAAGACCCAGGTCAAAGTATTCCCCTAACCCTGTCCTTTATGGCTCATCATGCCATCCATGTCCATTCTTGTATTACATACAATAGATTAGCAATGAAACTGATACACATCCAACAGTCACTGAAAATTACTTAATAAAAGGATTCATTCATAATACTACGTTTTAAAAATCTAATTTAACCAATCTTATTTCAGGGGATGCAACTTTTGTTTATGTAGACTCTCCTTATAATATAACAAGGTGTTCACATTTAATTATGATAGAACTGTGCTATGCTTTTTTCAAGGCCAATGTATCCTTCCTAAGATGTGATATCCTAGAACTGAACGCACTTAACCCAGGCGCACACTAAACGGGGCTTTGTATAGTTGAAGCATGACATCTACCCCTTGTACTCTCGTCTTCTAGATAGAAAGGCAAGCATGCCATTGGTCTTTAATAATTAAAAATCATGAATTGATGGAGAAATTATCTACGCACTTAGATCTCCAAACTCTGTGGATCTTCACCGTTTTCAGATTATCATTTAGAAATTACACCGTGTCATGACAGAGATGGCAAGCCTGACCAATTCAGACTTGCTAACTTTGGATATCGCAACTTAGTGAAACTCAAATGTTCAATGGACCGCAAAGTGGCCTAATTGTTCCTAACCAGGCTTTATGAATAAGATATTAGACACCAAGTTTATAATTTAAGCAGGAATTATAAATGTATTGTTAATATTGCAACTTTAGCAAAGTAAAGTTAAACAAGATAATCTATTTAAGATCTATGATTTAAACCCAATCTTGTTTGATTGCAATCCCCAGACAAACAGACAGTTAATGGATATGTTATTTTAAAAAAATTCAGAGTTTAATTGGCTAGTTTGCTTGAGCAATTTCGAATTATGGTTGCTGAACCTTCACGCAATTCTTGGATAATGATTTGTTTACAGGCACGTGGAACTGTATGTCTTTCTTGAATCCCAAAGTCACTGGTCAATGTAAACAGCTTCCACAGACTGAAGACTTTTACTTATGTCTTACAGTTTAGGGTTTTTTCTCTCCTCAGAACTTCCAATAAAGGGACTTTAACTACAGGGTGGGGGTGCTGGGTCTGGATGGGATGCTGTTCGGAGGGTCAGTGCTGACTTATGGGCTAAATGGCCACTTTCCGCACTGTAGGAGTTCTATGAAGTCTTTTGAATTTGATACTTAATGGACACCCAACCTGCCCATTCAGTTGGATGCAAAAGATTCCAACAAAACTTGGAGCGGGGCTTCCTTCCTGATATTCTGGTTAATATTTATCCCTCAACAAATTCTGAAAACAGACTATGGATACACTTCACATCCTACTGTGCACAAGTTGGCTACCAGACTTCCTACATTTACAACAACGAGCAAACTTGAAAATTAGTTCATCAGTGTGAAGCATTTTAAGTTACAAGCACAGAAGTTGCTGGAAAAGCTCAGCAGGTCTGGCAGCATCGGTGAAGAGAAATCAGAGTTAACGTTTTGGATCCAGTGGCCCTTCCTCAGAACCGGACCCAAAATGTTAATTCTGATTTCTCTTCACAGATGGTGCCAGACCTGCTGAGCTTTTCCAGCAACTTCTGTTTTCGTTCCTGATTTACAGCATCTGCAGTTCTTTCGGTTTTTATTAAGCATTTTAAGTTTTCTGGGTAAGAGAAATGGGCTAGAAAAATGCACATCTTTTTATTTTTTAATAAACTTCAGTTTCTTGACCGTCTTCCTATAATTAACGGCTCTTAATCTGGATATCTCAAGTTCTCAAATGTTTTTAACTAGGGCACTCCAATCAGGGAACACAATATTCTAAATGCATGTTCACCAACAGTAGACAAGTAGGCTGAATAAACAAATAATTTTCAGTGTACTCTCTGGTACTTACAACACTTAGCCCAAGTGTAGTTCAATAATATGCACTGTAAAGCAGTTTGTTCCCGATTTTTAGATGATTTCTGAATTCAAACCCAAAGCTTCTTCAAACACTGTTTCCACTAGCTATACCCTCAATCGCTAGACTCACGAGTTGTACAGCCTTTTAACAGTATCTAATTTCCCATTTACTTACCCGAGATTATAATCAGATGTAGGACACTTGGTCAATATTCCTCACCTGTAACACACTACAGATCTGATAGTCAACAACGGCACATCACGCCACGTTGTATCTATCTTGAAATGTAGTAAAATCACACTAAACAAACTAATCAATATATTTCTAACAGCAAGAGGTTTGTACAATACTCGACTTACATGCTACAAAATACTAGACAATATTTATACATTACATAATACTAGATTTTAGATTTATACACTACCTGTATTCAAACTGATATGCAACAATCCAAAATCCTAGCCTCTTTCAATAATCTCGCTCAGATATTATACAAGACAGCAGTGGATTTGTTAGAAAGAGATCCTGTCTGACTAATTTAATTGAGCTTTTTATGCAAAAGTGACAAAATATATTGATGAGGGTGGTGCAGTTGATGGTATAATTAATAACTTTGCAGATGACATGAAAATTGGTGGTGGTGTTGATAGTTAGGAGGATGGTCTTAGGCTACAGTCTGACATTGATCAGCTGATTTAACTTGGATACAGAAATGGGAAATGGAATTTAATCTCCACAATGCGAGATGATGCATTTTGAGAGGTCTAATAAAGGGAAGGATGTACATAATGAATGGTAGGCCCTAGGGAGTAGCGATGAATGTAACAGCACAGGTATGCAGGGTGGTGAAGGAGGCACAAGGGATGCTTGCTTTCATTAGCCAGGGTGTAAAACATAGGAGCAAGGAAGTCTTGTTACAACTTTATAAAATATTGATTAGGCTGCAGATGGAATACTGTGTGCAGTTCTGGTCACCACACTTATAAGAAGGGTACGAGTACACTGGACAGAGTGCAGAGGAGATTCACCAGAACGTTTTCAGGGATGAAAAGTCGGAGTTATGAGGACAGACTATATAGACTGGCTTGTTTTCTATGGAGCAGAGGGGGCTATGTAATTAAGGTATACAAAATTAACGAAGGGATAGACAGGGTAGATCATGAGAATCTTTACACCATGGCAGATGTTTCTAAGACCAGAGGGCACAAATTTAAGGTGAGGAGTAATGGTTTAGCAGAGATCAGTTGAAAAAAAAAAGTTTTATCCAGAGGCTGGTAGAAATACGGAATGTGCTGCCTGAGGAGATGGTGGAGGCACGTACTTTTACGACTTTTAAGCAGGATCTGGATGACCACTTAAAATGCCAGGACACTGTATGTTGTGGATGAAATGGATTAGTCAAGTTTGCTGTTTGTTTGTCAGTATAGACGTGCGGGGCCCAAAAGGGCCTGGCTCTATGCTGTATGACTCTAGGGCCCCTCCCAGCTACTGCAGATCATTCAGAGATTGCACAATTGAGGACTTCAAAACCTTGCAATGACCCAAGGTTAAGCAGTGTGTTGGTTTTTTGATATGAAGGCAGTAATACCTTAATTTATTTGATAACACCCATGCGTGACTAAAATTAGATTTTGCCTAGCTCTAGAATAGCCCATAGATTTTTACACTTATCAGAAATTGAAATCTCACTTTTGAAAAATGGCAATCGTTTTCCACAGCATGTTAAACCCTAAGCCAGTATGATTTTGACAAGTTTGTAACAGCTGCCATCTAGTATTTATATCCTATGTAAGATCAGGCTCCACTCTTGAGTAACAAATTTTCCTCACTTCTGTTAAACATTCATCTTGATCCACTAATAATTCCCATATCTTTAAGAATCCACCAACACCAGCCTCTTCCTTAACATGCCAAAATGAGTGCGTGCATACAGGCAACGTTCCTCCTTTTCTTGTCTCATGCACACCATGCCCCCCAAGCTTATGCTTAGTAGTTTCCGCTACTGCTAGTTTGCACAGCTCACTTCACAATGGCACTGGTTTAGCTATTTTCTATTCCGAGGTGACTCAATTCTAACACACTGAACATATCTATCAAGATCTATTACTCTATAATTACAATTTCAAAACAGCCTGTTTGGTTCGATTCTCCCTTCACTGGCATCAATTGTTAGAATCTGGGCATTTTGACGTCTGATTTCTTTAAAATATCAAGTGCCTATGAACCAGAGCCTACAGCTTTCATAGCTGCCAA